AGTGCCCAGAGGCTCAGCAAGGCGGTTTTGTGTGGTGATGAGCCTGCGTCCTTGGCTTTCTTTTCCCTCTGCTTCCCATGAAAGGGCGGCTGGCCACCTCCTGTGGGTGGACGGGTAATTTAAGGGGGTCAGCACTGAATGAGAAAACAGCAGGTAATGGAAATACGAAGGAAAACTCGGGCAGCCCTGCCTGCTAACAGGTTGATGTGTGTGTTTTGTTCCCCCTCTGCCTGCCCTCTCCCGGGCGCCAAAAAACGCCCCCCGGGCCCTCGCGGCGGGCGCCCCCTGCCTCTTCGGAAACCTGACGGAGGTGGAAGGGCAGGTTTCGGGCAGCCGGGTTGTGTGTGTTTCTCCAGCAGCGAAAGATGTTCCTGCCATTCCCATGGATCAGGGTAAGTGACTTCTGGACAGCAGTACATCTTCTCTGCCACCACAAAAGTTTGGCGTAGGTTTGGACGTATCTGCTGGGTGGAGCAGACCCTTTGGAGCTGCTGCTGGAGAAATGCCTGCTTCTGTCAAAGACCAAGGAGCTAAATATGCTCCATCCTTAAGTGCGTCCCACAAAGGGAAAGATAGGCTGGACACAGGCAGCACCGTGTGCATGCCCTGTCTTTACACCCTCCCTGCACCGCTGGACAGCTTCCGAGACAGGACTTGGAGCTACAGGAGCAGTCTGTCCCTGCCCCCAGGGTGGCTCATGCGTGGGGCAGGGGCTTGCAGCTCTGCCATGCCCGTGGATCTGGAAATCAGGAGCCTCCCCTCAGCCTGGCTCGGCACCCACGAGTAGGTGGATGCAGTTTCTATTTTTTGGTCCTGATCTTTGGGTTGTTTCTTCATTAATGTCACTGCTGTCATATTTTCACTTCCCATAACCAAAATGCTACTTGCTTAAAACTCATTTTCTCCTTGGCATCCTTCCAGGTGTCAACTGTGCTTCCCTGCTGACATCTTTGTATTTCTAAGGCATTATATGGAGCCTGAGACTGGGGGCCAAGAGCCGTTGTGGTAGTGGGGCTAGCATAGACGTACCCACAGCAGCTCCAGAAGAGCAATCTGCTCTTAATTAATACAGTGCTGAGGCTCCTAAAGAGCTTTACTGATGCCCTTGTTTCCAGCATCATCTCCTATTCTAGTCTTGGGCTGCTTCTCAGTGTAGGCTGCGTTAGTGTTTTCATACTGGAGAGGGGATCTTTGAGGGAATGGGCTGAGATCCCACGCTCATTTCTGCTATGACCCAAGGCAGCGTTCAAACCACTTTGCCATCACGCCTGATTTGGTTTGGAGGCACTGCTGGAGACAGCCCCATGCCCCAGGGTGCCCAAGGGCAGGGTCTGGCTGGGGGGATGCTCAGCCCCCAGCTTTGGGAACTGCTGCAGACTCACTGCGGCTGGGGGGCTGGCGCCTGGGGGACCAGGGAGACGAAAGCAGCCCGCCTTCCACCTTCTACCCCAGAAGCAGATGGCTCAGCACGCTGGCAGGCGGGGAGCGGGTGCCCCCGCGTCTGCTGTTGCTTCCTTCCTTACGGCTGGCGGGTCTGACAGGCTCTGGTTTGCATCCCCAGACTGGTTCGGAGTGGTGCTGCAGCTGAAGTCGCGGGAGACGGGGAAGATGTTTGTCAGCACGGAGTTCAAGTTCTACAACTGCAGTGCCCACCAGCTGTGAGTGCTCCCTCCCCATCCCTGAACCGAGCCGAACACCGGCTATAAACGACTGGGAAGCAATGCTGGGCTCCGAGACCAGCCGGGGGGTTACCACGCTGCTTGGTTCAGCCAGCAGACCTGGGCAGTGGAAGGGGAGCCCACCAAGCCCTGTCTCTGAACTTGTCTGGGGCTGTGTGCAGCTCTCCTGCCTTGGGAGATGCAGGAGTGAGCCTGGGAAACCTTAACCTGCTGGTGCCCCCAAGCTGCGCCAGCCCGCAACTGTGAACACCGTGCGTCTCCGCAGGCAGCTGCGGAAGGCAGAGCAGAGGGGCTCGGGGGTGGGATGCAGTGGGGTGGTGGGCTGCAGGCAGCCTGCCTGCCCCCGGATTCGGCCAGGGAAGCCTCGAGAGCTGACACAGCAGCCCAGGCGTGCAGCAGGCGTGGTGGGATGCTCTGCAGAGGGCTGGGGGGCTCAGTACTGCTGAGCATCATGGAAACGAATCACCCATGGACATATCTGCTGCTGCTGGCTGGCCTTAAATACACATTTACAGATGTGAAACATTTTTAGAGTTCTCTCTGGAAACAAGGCAAGCCCCCAGGCACCAAAATGAGATGTGGGCAGGACCTGCCAGAAGTTGGGTAGTGGCTTGGCCGGTGGGCTTGGGTGGCTTCTCCTGTGGCAGGGGTCAGCTGCTGGCTTTGCTCCGGGAGCGTGACTTGCTGCTTGTGCTGGCTGGTGGGAGTCAAGGAGTACCAGCACAGGGTCACTCCCAATCCTTCTGCACTAGACATGGGCCATAGCACAGAGCAGAGGTACTGGATTGAAAGGAGCCCTATGAGTCCTTCAGGCCCCCTGTGCTGCCTCTCATGGGGGTCTGTATCCACTCCGCCAACGATTCCTGCCTCCGGCTGTGCTACCCCTCGTGCACACCTCTGTCACTACGTCCTTGTCCCTCAGGCAGGCTGTACAGCACCAGCCTCTCCTCCGGCTGCGAGCACCTGCACCTTCCAGCCGTTCCTCTGCATTCTCCCGGAGTTGAATTTGCTTGAGGGATGGCATCATGGGGACCCCTATTTTCACTTAGGCGCTGAGGTTTGAATCAGGAGAGGCAATGCTTCTGGCCTGTCACTTGGCTTCCCCTGGCCATGCCTTTCTAGCAGCTTGTTTGGAGATAAAAGTGCTAACACGGTGGTAAATTCTGCAGCACTTACATCATACCGGACTCGTTATCAGCGAGTTCAACAAGGGCAGGAGCCAGCCTGGCAGGAATGAATCACAGCATGCAAAAAGGAGGAAGGAATACAGGTGTCAGCCAGCGGAGAAGAGAGACTTATTGATCCTGAGACTCCTCATTGCAACAGCGAGGGTGTCTGGAGAGAGCAGGGGAGCCCTGTGGTGTATAGAGCAAGTACCCCTTGGGAGGTGGCATTAGGTTAAAGAGGGGCAGGAGGGCTTTGGGGCTGGGCAGGAACGTGCTGCTCTTGCAGACCTTGTGGATCCAGCTGTTGTGAACCCACGGGCTGAGGTGGTGCAGCGCTCGGGTGCGTGAACTCCTGTGTCCCCAGGGAGCTGCAGGTGGGTCAGGGAACATGGTGGTGGCTTCTGTGTTAAGTCCCTTTTAGCAGGAGAAGGAACAGGTGGTGTGGAGACATGCACTTTCTTTCCAAAGCAAAGGAGAGGCAGTGGTCCTTAAGCTGGATGTGCCAGGAGCCCCTCGCCCTGCTCAGTCAGGATGGAGCAGAGTTGAAAGCAGCAGCCAGAAAACCAGGGTACAGTTAGAGCTGTGGAACCAAGCCTTTGGCCTTGGGTCAGAGAGGTCCTTCTCCCTTGGACCCAGGTGGGAAAGCTGGAGGTCAGGTCCAGGCCAAGGGAACGCGAATGAGAGAAGTGCTACCCACCAAAATGGAGACAGAAGTGGGTCAAACGAAGGAGTAATTAAATAAGCTTGCAGCACTTGATATTCTTCCCCAGATTTGCATTTGCACGATTAGAATAAGCTTCCTTAGCTATTAGGGTCACTGTAAATGCCTCAGAAGGAAAATACAATTGAGTTATTAGAACACACATTCTCGTGACAGCAGCCCACTAGAGTCATTGCCCTGGCACCTCTGCCCAGCTGGCGAGAGAGGCCCTCCCAGAGACTTGCTTTCCTTGTTTTCCAGCATTTCCTACCTAAGGCCATGCTCCCAGTTCCCTGGTGATGCTCCTCTCTCTGCACTGACCTGGGACTCACTCCAGATGATCCCTGTCCCAGGCACTGCCCGCTCTGGTGCATCCCTGCCCCGGACACCGCCCTTTCCAGAGCATCCCTGCACCAGGCACTGCCCGCTCCAGGCAGCACGGCAGTCTCTGGAGCCACAGCTTATACTTACACCAGCAGACAGTCACCAAAACGCTGCCACGTGGCACGGAGAGTTGGCCTCAGAGATGGAGGAGGTGGTTACTGCAAATATTAGCAGCTGTCATGGACCGTGCGTCTAACTGGCAGCCAGTTAGTGTGGAATAAAAACCACCCAGCCGGTTCGCTGGCAGCCGGGCTACCCCACGTCTGAAGGGGTCTGCGTTCTTTCAGAAACATTTCATAAACAGTTAATTTCTTCCAACGTGAATCAAAAGCACTTGCTGGACTCTTTGCACTCCAAGACCAAGCAGAAGTGTTACCGTTGACTTGAAGCATTCCTGACTTGTAAAACAACTGATCCAATCTTTGCCAGGCTTGCCTTGTTTTCCACCTTCTAGAAACTAAAAATGGAGTCTGGTGTCTGTGCAATATTGTGCAATAAATCCCAGCTTGTATACTGAATGAATTGTGAAGCTGCTTAAAGACTCTCTTTGGGCATGTGTTTTCCCAGGTCTTTGAGCTTGTGTTTTCCCAAACCTGTGTGTTACTTTTGTTGTATCAAAACATCCCTCCAAAGAAATAATTTCCCATGAAAGATCCTGAGCCTGGACTTCTGGCTAGGCCTGTCTGTTACCGTATAGACCTCCCAAGGTGATAACCTCCTCCATAACTCCTCCTTTGCTCTCCCCAGGTGCCTGTCTTGTGTGAACAGTGCTTTCCGCTGCCACTGGTGCAAGTACCGGAACCTCTGCACCCACGACCCCACCACGTGCTCCTTTCAGGAGGGACGGATCAACGTCTCTGAGGTACCAGACCGGGTTTCAGTACTCCTGGGCTCCCTCTTCTTTGCTTTTCTATGGCACAATTAGCACAACAAGTGTTTCTGTGAGGTTTTTCAGCTTTCCATGGATCGAGGCTCCTCTCCTGGCTGGCATCAAAACGTGCTGATGCAACTTCAAAGCAGCGTAGCAGGAAAGTGTCAGTTTAGCAAAAACGATGTGTCTCGACCTGAACGCCAAAGCTGATCCCACCTCTGATACGTGGGCATGCGGGGGTTCAGTAATTACTGTAATTGCTGTGGTGCTTTCCTTCGGGGGTCTCCGAGACTCCTCAAAGACCAGCACATTTCAGCAACTCCGCTTCAGGTACAAGGCGTGCAGGGATTTGCCCGATGGCAAGCCACAGGTGAGATGCAGAGCTCTTGGTGGGACTCATTCAGTGGGTTGTGTTGGTGGGTCTGAAATTTATGGCAGGAGCCTGACTGTAAGCTGATGAAGGAGGGAATTACAGATGTGAACAACCCCAGATTTTGGAAAAGAGAATTGATTCGAGTTCCAGCGCTGTGGACCAGGAGCCATCTCTCTTAGCAGTTAATAAAAGGTGTGGGGCTCAAGTCCAAAAATGCTTTTAACAGTTGGAAGGAGGCATAGCCCATTAATGGCTCTGCCAGGTCTTCTCTATGGCCCGAGGCAGAAGGATCCAAGGAGGAAAGGAGTTTAATAGGACAAATTCCTGATCAAAGGTTACCACTAACCCCTTGGTCTGGGGTTTCTCCACCCGTTGCCTTGTCTGAGTCCCTTGCTGCCATCTGCTTCAGGTTCCCCAAATACAGAGCAGATACAGCCTCCGATGCTGGGAGGGTCCTGGTCTTCACCCTCACTGTCCCTTCATGTAGCTTTGTGGCAACTGAAAAGGGTGCAGGTCCTAAAGCTGCGAGGAAAAGGGTTTAAAGGTGCTGTGAAAATCCTGAATGTCTTGGAAAGTGGGAAAGATGGTAGTGAGGAGATGTACAAATATTAGAAGAAGTAAGATCACCCTTACCAGTGAGTAACAGAGATAAAAGCAGGTGAGACTGGTTGGTAGAGTAGGACACCGAGCTGTTAAAAACCGTGACTGAAGGTGCCAGGCT